AGCAAACACAATGCAAGGAGAGTCTTGAAAAAGAGCTTGCACATTGGGGCTTGCTGCTTTACTGCACTTGGAACTCTGAGGCCATCACATGCATGTGTCTAAGCTGGTCTGCTGGAGAATGAGAGGCCACTTGGAAGAGAAGCTGGGGACCCCAATCAACTGTCACACACCTGAGCATGGCCATCCTAGCTAATCTAACCTGTAGCCCACCCACTAGCTGGCCAGTCACACAAGGCAGCACAGCAGGGAGCAGCCAAACTGCCCCAGGGAGCCACCCTATCAACCTACAGAATTGTGGGCTAAAAATAGTTGCTTTGAGCCACAAAGTCTTGGGGTTGCTTGTTACTCAGCAAAAGCTAACTGATGCAGGTCCGCTTTTTATTGAAAGATTCTCTGGGACAGAGAAGCCACTTCCAAATTAAGAATATACAGTTTTGCCCTGGCTGGCATAGCTCAGTGGATTGAGCATGGGCTGCAAACCAAAGCATCGCAGGTTCAATTCCCAGTCAGGGCACATGCCTGGGTTGCAGGCCACAGGCCCCCAGCAACCGCACATTGATGTTTCTCTCTCTCTCTTTCTCCCTCCCTTCCCTCTCTAAAAATAAATAAATAAAATCTTTTTAAAATCTTTAAAAAAAGAAGTTCCTTTAAAAAAGAATATACAGTTTTCTGGCTAATGGTCTTCTTTTAAAAATAAGGAGCACACAGGCAAAGCGTATCTCTACTATTGGACGATGAGAGTATGAACAAGACCTATATTTGCAGAAATTATGTAAATGCCATAGAGCTAGACAATTCCTGGCAGTGTCCTCTTCTTAGAAGTTAGTCCCTCCAGTGTCTAAGGAAGCATGAAGCCCCTCATTTTAGGACTCATCCTGAATGTAAAAGGACACTGTAGAAGGTAACTGAGTCCCCCCAAATCTGGATAAGGGGTCAGATGGCCCAGAGGGCACTTCCCTGAGAGCCATTACGATACCTCAGAGCCCTCTCAGGCCGCTTGGAGAGCGGTGGCCACCTCCCGTCCAGTGACACTTCCAGTTTATCCGAAGGTGATACACTGAGACATCAAAATGCTACCGATTTCCAGAAGCCCAGCCCTGGAAGTAGCTTCCACCCAGATTCCATTAGTGAGTGATCCCAATGTGCGTATGTCGGTCCAGCTTCCAGAATAAAAGAAAACCCATTCGACCTGGGATGGCTCAGATCACAAGCCACTGAAAACTGAGAAAAACAGTAAACTTCTGGGAAAACGTGACTCCACCTCCCCCCACCAAGAGCTCTGAGGAAACGACATCACTTACAAAGGGAAAGTGGCCCCAGAGTTAAGCCCTCACTCAGGGTGTCTGAGGCTACGCACGTTCATGGAATTTGTCTCGCGCCCCACAACCCAGCACCCCACTTCTAGTCCTGTACTTGAAGGACTCTGCACCTGTGCACCAGGTGACAGGTCCCGCACTGTTCAGAGCAGCAGTTTGACATGGCAAAGCACTGGAAACCCAAATGTCTGCCAACAGGAGAATTAATTTTTAAATTGTAAAATAGTCACACAAAGGAATATTTTACAACACTGAAAATGAACAAAATATAGTAACACTGAACCACATTGGTCAGGGTCCAGCATATTTTTCATATTTACACCCTTCCATGTACCCAACTGCAACCATCCCACAGCAGTTCCTCCGACAACCTTCTCCTTGGCCTCGGCGACACCTTCTGAACCGGAGCCCTTGCCCCCAGCTCCCTGCCCTCAGCTGCGGCCTGCTTCGGCCATGTTTACTTTGCGCACACGCCAATCCAACTCTCAGCAGGCAGCCATCTCTGCCAGAAATCCTTTGGGATGTTCTGCTTAGTTTCTGACTTTCCAACCTTGGTTTCTAGCGTACCTCATGCCTACTCCACATTTCAGCCACCTGATCTTCTTGCAATTCTCAGGTTCTCTTCTACCTTCTACCTGCCGACCTTCCCTCAGGCTCCTCCCTCTGTCCAGAAAGCACCCCTCCTCCATCTCCGCCCATTGAAATTCTCCTGATTGCTCCAGGGCAAGTACCAACCGTTTAAATAAGTTTCCTTATTTTCCTATCAACTTCTCTCCGGCCACTCCTGCACTGTTGACCACAAATCAACCTTAATCTCATCATTTACCTGCCATTGTTTGTATACCTACCTTTTCTGCCTAGTAATGTTTCTTATGTACCTCTGACACGTCAAGGCTATGTACTAGTCACTTCACGTGTGTTATTTAACTTAATTTAACCCTCACAACAGCCTTGAGATAGGTATTGCCATCCCCATTTTATAGATCAGGAATCTTAGGTCGTCCGAAGTTAACTTGCGCACAGTAGCACCCTTACGAAGTGGGTGAGACATCACTCACTCAGCGAATTTTACCCCAAACCACACCTGCCAGATTCTTCAGCCCTATGGGCTGTTCGGTGTGGATCAGGGAGTCCCTGAAAGTATGGGGGCATCTAGCACGGGGCCTCAGGGCAGGCACAGGCGTTAAAGGCAGCCTCTCGCTTCTCTCGCATTTGATGCGGACTCATCGTGCTGCAGGCAGTGGCTGGGCCTTTGGCTCTCGGTCAGCCCGCAGCCTGGGCTAGCACAGGGCTGCAGAAATGCCAAGCCCCACGCAGGATGTTTCGTTCCACTGGTGGCCCTGATGACGGGGAACCTGTAAAAGGAGTGCCAAGTCCCAGCTCAGGGCTGGCAATCTAGAGCTCATGCCTTAAGGAGTAAAAGATGTGTAGGCCACACTCGGAACCTCCTCCGTGTTTTCTGAGGAGATCCAGGGGGGTGCCTCAGGTTCCAGAAACAAGGCTGGAACAGTGCCATTACCATCAGGGTCAGCCTCGGCCTGATAAGGGTCCCGGCCTTTAACACACCCAAGGTGGACTCACGAGAAACTCACATGCAGACACAGACCAGAGAAGGGCTAGTCCGCCCTGACTTGGTTTCTCACCCTCTGGGGTGGAAGTCCTGAAACTTGTTGGGTCAGTTCATAATGCCAAGCGAAGAATATTATAATAGTGGGTTTATTCTCTTCCTTATTGTTTTGGAGTCAAGGGTGTTCAGCTGCCACTGTTTGCTCAAGGGGAGTGTAAACAGAACTCGACTCCGTGACTAATGAGCACCGAGCCCCAAGCCACTTTCACTCTGGCCCGGGGTGTGGACCTCGGGGTAAAGACACTGAATGGGAAAGGGGGTTGGATACCTCTAATTTGTGTTTCATTTGTACTTTCCTTTCCATCTAAAGAGCAGTCCTTTCTGAAGTGGGTGGTACTGAAATACCCGTTCATCCTACAGATCCACAAACTGCGTGGTAGGTGGCAGGCAGGGGCTAGAACGCCGATGCGTTGATTTCCACAGTTTTCCGCAGCCCTAGGCTCACTCTCTGTGGCGAGATCTTTTGCTTAACAAGTGTCACTCGTTTAAAAAGTACTAAAGAGAAAATTTGTAACCAAATTCAAAGTTCTCAAGTAGCAACATTCTTCTCCCCCTCCAAACCAAGATGATACAGTGTTAAATTTCTTAAACGTCTCACATTGTACACAGCTGACAAAGACCTTCCACTCAGGAGACTCCCATGTTGGGCTCCTAGGCCTTGTTGGAACTGTTTATCTTAGAGCCACCAAGGTCAGTAAGCCACAGTCACAGACAGAACCTCCCTGCTCCCGGCCATCTTTAAACAGACCAGAAAGTGGCTGGGTGGAAATGCTGATGACGGCAGGGCAGGGAGTCACTGGGGTTGATGACAGTCTTCGGAAGCCCCACTTACTGGGGGCTCACTTGTGTTGTATTCATGAATGAAGTCCAACGTCGGCAGGCACACAGAAATTACCCCCCCCCGCCCCACCTCTTCACGGTCTGTCATGTGGCAGACAGTCTGTGGTTAAAACATCGTAATAATACATTTCCATATGGGGTGGGGCTGTGGCCACCGACCAGTTAGCACTGATGACTTAGAAAAAAACACTTCAGCTTCTCAAAACCTTAGCCAAGTATGACAATTGGGATGACGTTTACAGGGCCAGCCCCCTGATGGATTATTATAAAGGCTTTCCCATTTTCTCAGAAATAACACAACAACTTTTGTCATGCCTTCCCCAATGAAGTTCTTGTAAATATTTGTTGCTGTCTCTGCCATACGGTTAAAGAAGTAAAAAAAGTTACTCAGGGCACAACACTATAGAAACGACTGAGTTTTATTACTCCTCAATACCTTCAAGTATCCCTCCAAACAGAATGTCCAAAAGGCCCTTTTTGGCCAGAAGGTACCGATTGCCTGAATTATATTTGACAACAGTTTAGAAACACCTTGAAAAAGACCTGTGACATACATCAGCAGGGGTCGGAGAAGGAAAGGAGAGACTGATGGAAAGAGAAATGTTACGGAACTCACAGTCTGGTCAGAGGTGGGCCAGGTGCTGTCGGGTACACTACGCAAAGCGCAGAGGGGAGGCAAAGCTCTGAAGGGACCTCCTACTTAGCAGCCAGCGAGTGACCGGACCCCCGATCCCAGGGGAGAGAGGGGCCTCTCTGTGCCTCCTGTACATCTCCTTCTGCACATCTTGCACAGCTTTCACGCTCCTTCTGAAGCCATGGTAGAAGCACAAGGATCTCCTGCCCCTCTGCTCCTTTCCCACTTTCTGTCTGGCCCCTCTGCACGCCCATAAGCTTTTGTTCTCAACCACTTTTAAGGTAAGTCCATCCCAGCTGGCAAACAACCCATGTCTTCTCCCCTTATTCCGGAGTCCAGGACCCCGGGTCCCAGAAGGTGGGTCCCGAGACCCACCGCGCTCAGCAGCCCAAACTGCTGAGTCCTCCAGGAGGCTGGCCTCTCTGTGAGGCCGGTCCACTTCGCGCCCTCCCCGCCTACCCTCACCCCCAACGAGTCCTAAACTCCGTGGCCTCTGAAGCTGGCCGTGCCTGGGTCCCCAACGTCCCCTCCGGGATCCAAGATTTTTCTGACTAAAGTGGCGTCGGCTCGGGAAGGACAGTACCTCTTTGCAGGCGTGAAGCTCTGGTTCCCCTGCCTGGGTCACCTGGAAGGCGGTCCCTAGCCAAAGCAGCAGCGGTAGAAGCCGGAGTGTGCGCCGCTCAGTTCTTCCCCTGCCTCGGGCAGAGGGATGGAGGCTGCGCCCAGCCTCGGCCATCGCGTCGTCCGAGCGAACGGCCGCGGCGGCTCAGGTGCTGCGGCGGCTGCTACGGCTGGCCGCAGGCGGAAAAAAGGGGAGGGAGGTTCCTGGGGGGGGGGGAGGATGCAAGGGGCTGGGCTCGCTTCAGTCACCTCCGGGCGGCTACGCCGAAGCCGCCCATCCTTCCTGCTCCCTCCTTCCTCGTCTCCTCCTACCCACGTCGCCTTGGCAACCGCCTCCTCTTTCCCTCCGCGCGGGTGGGGTAGGGACCGCGCGATGCTCTGCCGCTCACCTGCCGGTCACCATGGCAGCCGCCGCCGGTGGCGCGCGCCGCGCGGAAAAGCGCGCGCCCGGGGTCTGCAACCGGCCCAACAGGCGAGCACGGGGCTCGCGTAGGAAACGCGGTGGAAGCGTCCTCCAAGCCGTCGCCACCAAGTTCATGTTTCCCACGGCCCTCTCGGGTCGTGGGCTATTTATGAGCATCTCTAATCCTGCAGATGTGGCGTTCGACAGATACTAGCACGTCCCGCGTGCGAAGCGCTGGAAAGGAGGTTGAGACGCCGTCTCTCCTCTGGAGGTTACAGCCTAGGGCAGTGACCTAGAAGGTATTACCTGCTGCAAAGGCAGCCGCCTCTGGAGATCTTCCTTCCATCCCTGCGCTTCCACCCGGGCCTTCACAACCGACCCGATGCCGAGCCTTGGGACTCGTGCAGTTAAACTGGGTTAGAGCAAGAATGTTCCTAGTCGGCAGTTTTCCAAGCACAGCACGTGGGCTCCCGCTTCTCTGCACATCCCCATTCCCTCACTGCTTGGAAAAAATCCATTTGCTTGGTGCGAGGGAGGAGGAAGCATCTGGGTCATCTTTTAGGGCTCCTTTCGCCAACCGCAGTCTTTCGCATTAGCCCTGTCCGCCGAGAGGCCTCTGTGGTTTCACCTGTGGCTTACGAGCACGAACCCGGGGCTCCTAGGTGTGCTCAGCCGCCCTCCGGTTCCCAGCAGCTTCGTCCTCGGTGTGTGTGTGTGTAGGGGGCGGGGGGGGCCTCCCTCGCTGCACCGCCAGGTGGCGCTCCTGTGGATGGGACCTCACCTCAGTCACAGACGGTAGGGCGGTTGCCTGGCAACCGAAAGTGGGCGTTCCAAACAATTGGGACCCCGGATCTCCCGCGCTCAAGGTTGTGTGCGGCTGTGCGGGCTTCCCACCCCTGTTAAGAGCTCTCGCGGGGCGTTTTACCATGCCTCCCACCCGAGACCCTTTCCAGCAGCCTATGTTGGATAACGATGATTCCTACGTGGGGAAACTGAGGGCTTCCAAGGTACCGTGGTTTCTTGCACAGACTCCTTCCTGGCAGGGCCGACGGCACTCTTCTTCCCGCCTGCGCAAGGGGCAGAGATGGTAACTTAAAGACCTCCGGGGAGGACCCTGGGGCTCTGAAGAAATCCGTTCCCTGCCTGCCTCCACGTGCTCACATTCAGGTCTGCTAAGGTTTCCGAGGTGCCTTTGAGCAAGGGAAGTAGAGCTCTAGTCCAGAGGAACCAGGGGCTCTGGCCCCCCGAAGCCGCGACTGGTATAACGGGGCTTACACAGGCCCAGGCTCCACCAGGCCGCACTTGGCCCTGTTTGGGCGACTGTCCTCCAAAAAGGTGTGAGAGAGGGAATGGGAGAAAATCCTCCGGAAAGCCACCAGGTCATGCTCTGTCTTCCCGCCGTCTGCGTCCTCTGGTTAATGCTGGGGTGTGTTTGCGTATGTGAGTCAGCGATTGGGGAATTCGGATGACCCTTTTTTCTAGTAGATGTGGTTGGGAGGTTCGACGTGGTGCAAAGTAAGGAGAATTAAACAGTCACTGTGGCTTAATAATCCAGTCGAAGAGCTTCTTTTTGTTTATTCAACATTTATTATTTACTGTATGGCACTCTCTAAGGGGCTACTAAGCGCTGAGGATATACAGATAACTAGGTACACGCCTGCTCTTAAGGAACTCCACTAGAAAAGCCAGACTAACAACAACAGCAACAGCAGAAGCGCTCGCACCATGGCGCATGTGTCGTGACAGAGTTACAGGTGATGAATGTGTCAGGAGAACTGGGAACTAGAAGGAAGCCTCCCAGAGCAGGTGAGTTTTGACATCGAAATATGAGTGAGCCGGGCCAGGTGAGCGAGGAGGTGAAATGTGAGTTAGGAAGAAGAAACAGGAACCACACATCGGTCACCAGCAAAACAAAGGAAGCGGCAGGTGCACACACAGCTGGAGAGGAGAGAAAGGGTGACCCTATGTGGGGGCCAGAGCCCAGAGTGGCTGGACGCCGGTGGGAGGTAGAGGAGTGGGCGAGTGGAGGCTGGGCTGCGTGTGCCGCGTGCACCGGGCTGGCGAACTAGAACTTCATCTCGGAGGTGCCGGGAGTCGCATCGGGCTTTCGAGCACTGGAGCGGCACGGAAGACGGGTGTTTTAGAAAGCACAGTGGAGGTGGATAGTCGGGGCCGGGGGTGAGGCAAGAGGGCGCAGCGAGGGGGCAGGAGCCCCAGGCGGCAGCCGTCTCCAGCAGGAAGAAGAATGGGCCTGGAGCGGTGATGCAGGGGACAGCCGTGAGGTGCCCACGTGAGAGAGGGGCGAGGGTGGGCCCGATGGGACTTCGTGGCTGACTGGATACGAGCGCAAGAGAGCAGACGAATCTAGGGTAACTCCTAGGCTTCTGAGGGCTTAGCCGGTACTGAACGAGTGAGGCATCCAGGGGAAGCAGGTTTGGGGAGAGAGATGTTCAGACCAATGGCGCTGGTGTTGCTTTGTGGTGCCCGTGGGACAGTTGGGTGGGATGGATAGCAGGCAGTGCGGTTGAGTGTCTGTGGCAAAGACGTCTGTCTGGAAGCCGCAGGGTTTGCATGGTGGTTGGAGCGGTCCCTTCCTCCCAGGTCCGTGGGAGGAAATGAGCTCATCTGGCCAATGTGAGAGTAAGGGAAGCAGGGACTAACTCCCTGGGGAATGCCATTGCCTGAGGGGCAGAGAGGGGATGCAGACCCAAGAAGTAACAGAGGGAGGAGGAGGACTGGAGGAGCAGGACCCCCAGAGGGTTGGGGGGGAAATATTTGAGCGAATCAAAGTCATGGTGCCAGAAATTGCAGAGGTCAGACAAGACCAGGTCTGGAAAGGATCCTCCTGACCCAGCCACAAGGATCATTGGTCACAAGCATGGTGCAGGCTTAGGGCACAGCCAGGCTGAAGGACGGACTGGAAGCAGGGAGGAAGCGAAGACAGTACAGGGTGACTCTGGAGGAAGAGCCTGGCTCTGCTGGGAAGGTGACGCAGTGGGAGTCAGATGGTTACACAGTGAGAGAGAGAGGCTGGGTGTAGGGATGCCAGGATGGCGCAGGTCTCTGCGGCTCAGGGAGGGGCTGGGTTCAGGGGAGAAGGCTTATTCTTGAGTAAAAGGGGCTTCCCTTTCTCTGAGATGGAAGGGAAGTGGACATGAAGATGGCGTTCATGCTTGACTTTCTTGTTGAGAAACAGTCTCACCCTTCTTCCAATAAAGATGACGAGGCTTGGGTAGCCTTCTCTGGATGAGAGGGGAGCTGCCTGTGCTTGCCTTGTACGTGTTTGCAGTTCTCTTGTTTCATGTTCCGTCTTTCTTGGGGATACACAGTGCCTGGCCTGAAATATACTGATCAATTAATGTCTCGCTGAGCTGAGACACTCCACTCGCTGTCATGTTTGGGGGGTGGGGTGGGAAGGGGGGTTCCAACATCAGAGAGGTTGCACGAGATTTCTACCAGGTTGTGGTTGTGCTCACTGGAGTTCAGTCATCGATTCAACCAGCATTTCATTTTTGACCACCCTGTGTTAGGCAACTGTGCTAGGTCCTGACGGCACAGTGATGAGCAATACGTCACTTTATATACAATGAAGAAGCCAGTTATGTGCATTTCACATTCACGCTTGCGAGGTTTTATTTAGAGGATGGAAGGTCCAGCAGACTTTTTCTTTGATATTCTCTAGTCACAGTGATCGTTCCCCATTTGCTGAAATCTGCTCCTCACCTGCTTAGACACTGCACCCACCTGGGTCTCCTGCAGCTGCCTGCCTCCACCTTCCCCCGGTTACAGCACTGTGTACTCATGGCCACTCCTTCCCCGTGGCCACACCCAGCTCTGCAGGCTTCAGCCACGACTTCCAGGGGACAAACCCCAGATCCTGACGACTTGTCCTGCGCTCTCCAGCATGTAGCACACTTCCTGTTTTCCACCTGGTGCTGGCAGCAGGAGTCTAACCTTTTCCTCACACTCAACACGTCTGAGCCTGAGCTCACCATCTTTCCCATCTGCTCCTGCCCTCGGCCCCCTGTCCTGCTCCACCCCTTTCCCTATATTCCTGGCCCGTTTCTGTCAGTTCTGAGGTTGAAGATGTAGGAGGATCAGAAGCCTGGGGAGTCCTGTCCCCTATTGTCCTTCTCTTTGCAGATGTTGCTCTGAGGTTCAGTTAAAATGGGATGGGTTAAGGGGTGGATGCCACTGAACCCGCCACATCAGCGAGGCCCTGTCATCGGGTAGCCAGGTCCCCGTGTGGTTTTTCTTTTGCAGCAACTGCCGTGTAAGAACCCGCCTCACCTCGCTCAGCAACAGGAGCCCTGGAATCGGCTCAGCTCAACTCAAACGATCACCTCCATGAGGCGGAATGCTTATTTTTTTGAATCTGAGGTACCTAATATTGAAGTGCCGTTTCTCTTTGAAAGGTAGTCTGTTGCCAACTGCCTTAGTGTCTTTCCTGATTTTGCCCAGTCCAAGGTCCCACCGAATCTAAAACCAAGTGTCAGTTTTTCTGGTCTGCGGGAAGTCAGGAGACTTGGGTTTCTGGAGCAGATTACTTTCTCACCAGACTCCTCCCCCTTCTGACTAAAACGAAGGCTGAACATAACCGTGAATAATGATGAGGCCCACTGAGCCCCAGTCCGGGACAGCATAGTGGTTCCCACATCTGCAGGGAGAGCTCCCTACTCCTTAGACCTAACCACGAGGGACAACTCCAGCCCTTGCTGGCGTGGCTCAGTTGGTTAGCGCATCCTCCCCTACACCGAAAGGCTGGGGGTTTGGTTCCAGGTCAGGGCACATACTTAGGTTAGGAGTTAGCTCCCCAGTCCGGGTGTGTCTGGGAGGTAACCAATTGATGTTTCTACCTCCCTCTCTCCCTTCCTCTCTCTCTAAAATCAATAAACATATTTTTACAAAGAGAGAACTCCCTACTGACAAGAATCATTATGTACAGCTTGATTTATAAGGAGTTAGTGGATCCAGGCCCCAAAGAGGTTCACTCCACTTTTGGGGGAAGAGTAGAACTCAACAGAACTTGACTAGAGCAGGGGCAGAGGTGGTGAGTTAACCTCAGAGGGTTTGACTTTCTCTAGATACCCAAGGACGATCTGGATTTCCGCTTAGCAACCTTGTACAACCACCACACGGGGGCGTTCAAGGACAAAAGTGAGGTCCTGATACACCAGGAGACCTCTCAGGACACGCACGGGTAAGAGGTGGAGGCGGAACCTGCCCACCCTAACTGTAGCACCACCAGGTACACAAGGTGAAGCGCCACCTGGGAAATGACCACCAGCAGGTGCCTTTTGTGTACAGGTTTCTGTGTTGTTTACATCCGTGCCTGTAAGTGGTTTCGTGTTTTTATTATCTAAAATGAACAGAGAGTCTCCAAGATTGTGTTTGTCTACATAGACAAACAAAATCTTTAGTCCGTGTCACAGGGGGTAAAAAGCGCCCTTCACTGCTGTATTTCTGAGGTTGCATGCAACTCTTCCTCTCCTCTCCTCTCTCCCGCTTGGCCTCATTCTCCCCCGTTCCTCCCCACACCGTTCTCTAGAAGCATCAAGCTCCAGTTCCCTGAGGTTTTACCCCCTCCCTCACCACCCCCCACCACGTCCCGAGCTAACATCAGACACTGGATCAACCCTAAGAAGGAATCCATCCACAGCATCCAGGGGTCCATAGGTAAGTGCTAGACGGGCAGATGGGTGGTGCAGGTTTCCCTAAGTGGACCCAGCAGTCAGGGAGAGGGGGCCATTGGCTAGGAGGGAGCATGGGGGGTAATGAGGGTCTTGAAACAGCAGTGATCAGGTTGGCACATAGCAGACTCATGCCGGGGGCATGCTGACTACGGAATGAATTCAGTTTTTCAGAGCCTCTAGCTCAGCCTGCCGTCTCGGGGCCAAAAATTGCCAACAAAGGCAGACACCAGGGAGTGGAGCAGACACCTGTAGCCTCCTCCTAAACCTGCCCTATGTGCCCCTCCCCCAGCTGGTACAGGAACCTTCTCTATAGCACCCATGAGTGTGTGGACGGTTCCAGGTTCCCCGCGAAGGCAAGGCACCTATAGCCCGCTCCTTCTTTTCTCCACAGTGTCCCCTCACACTGCAGCCACCAATGGAGGCTACTCCCGAAAAAACGATGGTGGCTTCTTCTCCGCCTAATGGTGACAGGCCCCTGGACTAATTAATGAGAGTGGAACATCATCCTGCCGCCCACCTGCATTAAAAATTCTTGTGCAAGATGAAGCCTGACGTGTCTGTTACCCGTAGGCTACGAGTTGCCACTCGATTCCTCTTCAAAGATGGGAGGGGCCCTGGCCAGACAGTTCGGTTGGTTAGAGCGTCGTCCAGATCTATACGCCAAGGTTGTGGGTTGGATCCCCCTTTAGGGTACATACGAGAGTCAACCAGTGAACCCATAAATAAGTGGGACAATAAACTGATGTTTCTTTCTCTAAAAAATAAATTAAAAAAAAAGATGGGAGGTTAGGTTTTGCAACTTCTAGAAACGAGTCTCGTTGAGCATATTTGCAAGGATTTAGGGCAGAACAGCAGTTTGGGGCAGGTGGCAGCATTCGAGTTTTGTAAACTGGTCACTCCAGCTGTCTAGATACACCCATTCAGTGTCTATCTCGAATCTTGGTGTCGGAGCTGAGTGTGGGAGAAACAACTGTGGGCATAGTCCATCCTCTTAGGGAGCTTACAGTCACTGTGATTTTAGTAGCTCTCCGTAGCATTAGTATTTATGCTGATGTCAGACTTAACAGACTTCCCACTTCCTGGATTTAGTCATCTGCTGGGCTGTGCTTTCCCACTGGGGGCTCCATCTCCCGGGTCCTGGCTCCTTGCTGTTGTCCTAACTGCAACTGTCTTCTTGCTGGGAGTTAATTCCCTGCTCTTTGGGTCAGTTTGTACTGATATCTGCCCCTGATTCTTAGTCACTGCAAACGGCTGTTAGATTGGGCAAGAGACAGGAAAAGGCTTCCTCCTGGTACTCAGGTACAGGGTCCTTAAATACCACCGATCCCAGCCTCTTCCACTATTCAGGTAGTGTATCTGCTGCCAAGTGGCAACAGGACATTTCACTTTTTATTACTCAGGATGGCTGGAAAGTGGGAGAGGTCTCTCTGGTTGGTCACCTCATGCAGGGTGATAACTGAACATCAGAAGTCATGGCTGTGATCCAGGCATAGAGGCTGTTAAAGATACACAGGTTCCTCGAGTTCCCTGATAATTCTGATTCAGGAAACCTGGGCGGGGCCCCTGGAATCTGAATTTTTGTAAGCTCCTAAAGAGTGTGTGTGTGTGTGTGTGTGTGTGTGTGTGTGTGTGTGTACATACATATGCATAGAGACTTGCATATATACTCCGATGCCCCTTAGCAGCAGCCGCTGTGTAGTGCCGGGAGGCCGGGTGCACCGGTATTGGTGCCATAGTCATCATGACAAGGCAGGCCTAACGAAAAAACAGGGGGGAGGAGAGCTAGAGAAGAATAAAGCCTCCTTCCCGGCTTCGCTCCCGCGGCCCTACGGGCTCAATCACCCTCGGCCCTCGCCCGTGCGCGCCCCGGCCCGCCGCCGACCGCTGACGCTTTAGCCGCGCACCACTGGCGGCCGCATCCTGGAGCCCGGCTCAGATCAGAATCGCCTCGATAATCAGCGGCCCGGGACAAGCCCGGCCTCGTCTATCTGATCAATTCATCACTTCTGAGCGCCGGGCCCCGTAGGACCGACTCCGGGGCCACGGCGGTGCCGCCACCCGAGGGGCCTCGCTGCACAGCGCCCCGAAGAGGGGGCTTCGCAGGAGGGGAGCTTTTCATCTCGGGTGGGCCCGGAGCGGCTGGGGTCACAACCCGATCAAATAAGATCAATGTGTAGGCGGGGGGAGGAGCACAGGGGCCACGCACTCGCCTTGCACACCCCAGGCACGATCACATTCACGCGTCCATGCACACACTCGGCTCGCACCCATCAGCCACGCGCCACCCTGTCACAACACACAGCCATACAGCCCCCGGCCGCCCTCCCTCCAGGGAGCAGCGGAAGTCCGCACCCTCTTTTAAACTCCTCCGCCCTTCCCCTGCCTCGGAGGATTCTGGGAGGAAGCGGCGAGCACCGGCCCTCGTCCCGCGCGCGCTTTGCTGCCCTCGCGTGGCTCGGAGGGGAAGCTGCGTCGTAGGAGCTGGCAGAACAAATTCCCGCAGTACGGAATCCCGGTGGTCTTTTGATCTTTGTGCAGCTACTTCTTTATACCCGTATCTGCAGTTTTTCTTTGACCTTTGATCCAAATTCTGGATATGTTGACTCAATTTCAATAATAGGTGAATGACTCCTCTCCCACGGACAAAGCAAATAAATCCTGGTGTTTACCAACATCAGCTTCCCCAGGAGTTCCTTCTCCCAAGGCAGGAGGCAAGTACGATTTTACCAAAGGCAAAGGTGAGACTAGAGTAAAGGAGTCAAGGTAGGAAGGCAGAGCCCTGCTGCTCCCCAGAACTTGATGCTGTGGCAGGCATACTGCTGACCCTGCATCTACTTGTGTATCTATTCAAACCTGTCAGACTCTCAACCTCCAGAGTGCGTGAAGGGAGAAACACAGGTCGTTATATAAATAGAATTAGCTCCTTTTACAACCAGAGAGCACAATTTTAATGTCTGTTTCTTCTCCTTTTTCAATGAAATAGGTGTGTGTGGGGGGAAGACAAATCAGAAGACTTTTGGAGACTAGAAAATAGTTCGTGCAGTTATAACTTGTACTTCTGTCGGTCTCGCCATGCACTTGCAGTGAACACATAGGGGAAAGTATCCAATGTGTCAGATCCCCGTAGCTCAAGGGTTCTGTAGGTGTGTGCCTGGGTAACCTGGTATCATCTGAAGGAAGTTTGTGGCTAGTTAAGGGCAGATGATACTTGTATTTTAATAGCGGTAGGTAAAATGTATTTGGGAGTATCATCTACCTTGATACACCTCAAAATTTATTCATATATATATATATGCTGATATGTGCAGTGTGACATGTATCAGCTCCCCCCAAAGGAGACAGCTACTCTCACAGACTCTGGACTGTGTGTATCACACATTCCTGTGAAGGTGTAAACAGGAATGATGGGACTAGTTAATTCAAATTTAAAAAGTACACTACGGGCAGAAACCAAGGGAAGATTGAACCAAGTTCAAAAAATTCAGCATGTGACAAATAAAGTAGACAAAAGCAGTAGGGAAAGAAATTTTATTTTCCAGGATTTGTGCAGACAGTGGTGAATAAAAAATTGTATTTCAACTATAAAAAGCTGACTTCATCCCCCCCCCCCCCAGGTGTTCAGGGTGTATGGTGATGCCAGTTTGGACCAGGGCTGACGTTGCTGTCCCCATTCTTCCACTCCTAAGACTCTCTTAGAGGAACACTTGCTACAATTTTCAGTCAAAGAATATGAAACATCAAGCAAAGTAATGAGTTAAACAGGTTTCTGCTGATCTGCTTATATAAAGTGAAATAAGCTGTGTATTTTTTTTGTTCTGTTTTGCTTTGCTGTAAATTGCCTTCGCTCTGTGCACTTTTTGGTATATTCTAGAATGAAAACATCTCAAAATATTACAATTCAAGAGTCAAGGTGACCTACTCAGGAAGCTGCAAATATTGGTTTAAATAACCAGAACTGTGAAATGAAACTAGTTTAAAACCTGAAAGAGCTCTAAGCACCAAGCTTAGAGACATTAGCCCTATTAGAAAACAAAAGTCATTAAAGCTACACAGTAACAACCGCAAACCCGCTGAACCTGTGTTTCCGGGGAGAGACACCCCATTGGCTGACAAGTCCCAAACTCACACCCCAGGAGGTGTTAACTTCTTTCCCGTTTCCTTTCTCACGTGTGAAAGGTCCTCAGAAATGACCATGGAAAACCTATGAATCATTGAAAGTTACCCTGTGAACCAGTTCCTGACGAGACCACAGCCACAACTCTGAGATGATGAGACATGTAGTGTTTACCTAATGACTTTCTGTACTTCGAAAAACCTGCGAAGACGAAACCGCCTGTTTCAGAACCCAACTTCCTCGCAGGTTCCGTCCTTTCGGAGTAAGACAAAACGCAATTTGCTGCCACACAGGGGTCAAGCACAGCTAACGTGTCCACGGTAGAGTTTTATTCCAATGGACAAGGCAACTGGTAGACCTAGGTACATGCTTGCTTTTTACAATAATTTTAGACCCACTTTTTTTTAAATAAAGAAGTTCTAGGCTTCAAAAATGTAATATTTGATATTTTTTGCTGATAAGAGGAGGAGGAAATGTAGAAGTCTCCTCTTCAAATATTGAGTCATCTAAAATGATTTGCTCAGGAGTTATCATACTCTATGGAAAAGTCATCGATCCAGTTGCAAATCTGTTTTCCTTTACGAAGCACCCTCATTTACTCATGGAGTCTATGAACTGTCCAAATATGCCTATGAATATTAGCAACTTCTCTCATTTGAATTTCTAATTTTTGCATAATACAGAATTTACCAAGGACAGCTAAAGAGGATTGTAATATGAAGAAAATTAAGAGTTGGCCAAGAAAAGTAGTAATCAACTAAAAATGGCCGTAACAACTCAGATTTAAACAAAGAATAGGTTTGTACTGTGGATAACATAACAAAACTCCCATCTAACATCACAATTAATTTCTACTAGGTGACTTTACTAGTATCTGAATATACTAGATTTATTTCTTCTACTCTAGCTGCAAATACATTAAACAATTACTTCTTCAATCGTTTCTCTTTTCCCTAGTGGTGGCATTTAAAACTGAGTATTTAGCACTCAGTAGTTTAGAAAATATAAAAAGGCTTAGGAAAAGAGAAACAGTGGATTTATCTTCTTACACCATCGGTTGGGGTGATGTCTCCTTTTGGGGGTACTGGTGAACAGAACCTTTTTTCTTGTCTGAGTTACTGCCCTCCGCTTTCATCACAGACAGGAAGCTCCCAAATCTCATGTGGGCCCAGATCATCTTGGCCCAACTCTGCAGCTTCTAGCACACAGAACAGTGATTTCACCTGTTCTCTTTTTGCAGCGAGGACCATGCCACTCTCTCATGGTGCCAGATGAGTATATGAAAGATGAGTTTCCAAAGCCAAAGTATTTCTGGGCATTGGACAACTCCTGTTTTCCACCCAGTTCCCCACCCTCTTCCAACCTGCCAAATCTAAATCAAAACAATGGGGGGAAAAAAAGTCAAGCCTCGAAAATTCTTTCTTTCCAAGACATCGGAACACAGCTTATGTCCTTCCCTAAAGATCTTCAGTATGAAAAGATCCTGGCGAGGGCTGAGGAACCAAACAGATGACAGGTTTCTAAGCAGGAGGTATGTAATGTTATCACCGACGCGTGTAATTTATCTGGGCATTATGCGCTGTCTGCGAGGACTGATTGGAGGAGTTGGCTTTCTGGAGTCCCCTGAAGTATAAATAATGTTTGTGACCGTGAGTTTTCCCCACATATGGGAGGGGCAGATGCTGTGGTGTCATCCTGGGGACTCGGATGATTTCAGCTGAACTCTCCTACGCTGGTCCCAGGCCCCCGACAGGTCCTTCACCCCCGTCCCCTTGGTTGGCAGTTGACGAGATGGACGCTCTGGAATTCATTTTATGAACAGGACGTAAAAGGCCATGATGACGCAGGTGACTGCCACAGCAGCGTGCAGCCTGGTTCCGATCACAGCAGCTGGAAGGCAACGGGAAGCAGGGAAAAGGAATCACAGCCTGCCCTTCATATCGGCCCTCACTTTCAAGGGGGTAGTTTGAACTCTTTAGTCACAGGTGATGAGACCTACTTGGGAATGTCTTGAAATCCTACTCTAGGTTCTAGGCGGATATACCTTTTCTTTATGTCCTGGCTGGTGTGGCTCAGTGGACCAGGTGCTGGCCTGCAAACTGAAATGTCACCAGTTCGATTCCCAGGCAGGGCACATGGCTGGGTTGCAGGCCAGGCCCCCAGTTGGGCAGTGTGTGAGAGGCGGTGGATGAATGTTTCTCTCACACATTGATGTTTCTCTCCCCCTCTTTCTCCCTCCCTTCCTCTCTCTCTAAAAGCAAATAAATAAAATCTCTTAAAAAATACATATACCTTTTGTTTATATTTTGCCCTATTTTGCAAACAGATTTAGATAGTTGGGATTCCAAATGAAGGTGCCCACAATAAAAAATAAAAAAGCACTTCAGTTAATCAAATCAAAACTTAATAGATTCCAATATATTCTTTCCAGATTTTCAGAAAAACTTTTCATTGGGAAAACATCCCTCCCAACAATACCAGTCCAGTCTAAAATTGTTTAGTTTATAGACCGTTTCCTCCACGGAGAATAGTAAAATTACCTCGTAGTTAAACAAATACGTAAAAGTGGAACCGAACACAATCCCAGCCCGTCTCACCCCCTGCTTCGCAGCATATCTCGCAGCCCCGAGACAGCGCGCTCCTCTGCCCGGGCAGACACGCTCTTACCTTTGTAGAACACACCCCAGACTCCCTTCTTCTCCGATAGCAGCCAGGTTTTGAGACGAGGAACCTTCTTGAAGTAGGCACAGGTGCAAATAAAGAGCAAGCCAAACACCAGAATCCCATCCAAGGAGTACACTGTTACAGGATGAAAAGAACACCTTTGGTGCTAATCCTTTTGGCACAGATCATCCCCTGGAGAACTCCAAGGAGCAGAGTGTGACATATTATCAAGACGATAACCTCAAAAGCGTGCCAACCCTTGACTTGAGGAAGCCACCGTCCTGGGACTAGCAAGGTGACCTTACCGTTCCCCAAAATTGCTTGTATCCATCCCCCTTACAATTGCACTCTGCCCTGCCCTGCCCTCCTCTCCCCTTTTAAGAACTACGAATCCTTGAAAAGTGCATCACTCCATGTGCGATCAGCCCCCCGGGAGTGGCCAGTGTTGGCCAGAGGATGAGAGAGTCCGAAAAATCCTTGGAGCCTCGGCTGAGAAAACTGAACACATTTTCTTTCTTTCTTTTTTTTTTAGAGAGGGAAGGGAGGGAGAAAGAGAGAGAGAGAAAGAGAGAGAGAGAGAGAGAGAAACATCAATGTGTGGTTGCTGGGGGCCATGGCCTGCAACCTAGGCATGTGCCCTGACTGGGAATTGAACCTGCTTCACAGCCTGGTTCGCAGGCCTGAACCTGGTTCACAGCCTGCGCTCAATCCACTGAGCTATGCCAGCCAGGGCGACAACTGAACACATTCTTATCATAAATCATTCATGTGATAAAGGAGAGCTAGATATTTAAGCAAGTCTCTCAGATCCACCTCTGTTGAAGAAAATGTTAAGGCAAGAAGTGGAGTTTCATGAAAATTGCAGGAGTTAGAATCCATGACTACAATTTTCCTAGGTTTATCTAACATTTCATGCATGGGACCCTACTTACAAACCAAATTCTACCAGGACGGCAACAGATTCTCGTAAAATGTATACCATCTTCCTGAGGCTTCAACATTTCAACACAGTGGAACAATTTTGTGGGAAAAAAACTGTGAACAATCCTATTTCTTACATATGTAAACTGAGTTACGTCTCGTACATGTAAGCACGACAAATCGCCTAACGAAAAAAAGAAAAAAGAAGGTGTTCCTCCACAAAGAAGGGAGAGTGACTAAAGTTTATTCAGTGGTTTTTATGTGTCAAACTGCTCTCTTATTTTCTGGTGCAGATGACTTCTTGTTCTAGGTGATGTCCCTTCTCCTGTACCTAGTAACCTCAGGTCTCTGGCAGCCCAGGAAGCCCGGAAAAGATAATTGACGTAACCAGCATCTGCCAGTGCCGGACTACTCCACCTCCCTCTCTCCCTCCAGTAAAACTCCCACAGCGAGGTGTCACAAAAGATTCAGTAAATCAGTATTTTTTCCTTACTGATTTGAGAGAGAGAGGGAACGCATTGATTTGTTGTTCCACTTATTTATGTATTCATAGGTTCATTCTTGTATGTGCCCTGACCCAAGACTGAACCCATAACCTTGGCATATGGGGACCACACTCTAACCAACTGAGCTACCCGGCCAGGGCTACATACACTGAGCTTTTATGATGAATGATATTTTATGTGCTAGTCTTTTCCTACCGTAACTTTTTGCAGATAATGCCAACACTGACAAGGAGGGGAAATATGAATCTTCAGTGCCAGGCTATGGAGAAGGTTCTAAGAAATGCTTTCTTGTGCCCTTCCAATCACACTGCCTAAAGGCTTTCTGTTCTTTCCCGTAAGACTGACGCCAAAGACCATGAAAAGCCCTGCTTCCCTCCCTTCCCTGGATTTCAGAAATCACCTCTGTAAAGTGTTTGAAGAGGCCAAGAAAATGAGGTCGGGTGAACAGGGTGGCAGCTGCCACTTCATTTAGAAAAGGCAGTATCTAAAGCCAGTACTAGCCAGGGTCTCCAGAATCACCCAGACACATCTTTAGAATCAAACAAGAGAAAGCTGTCCAGCATTGCTTCAAAAAAAGACCATTTCAGGCTCGAACATTCACCCCTCAAAAGTGTGGAGCTTGAGGTCCTCTGTGATTTCTTGGTACTACTGTAGGAAAGCATGAAAACGTAGGAGGCTGGGAGGAAGGCCCTCTCTTTTCCCTGGTGCTAAAGCAGTGGTTCATCCCAGACTGGCCATTCCAAGGGGCTTGTAAGGGCCAGAACGAACTTCTAGGAAAGGGAGAAGGGCAAGCACAGGGTAGGGACCGAGGATGCGGGGTGTGGACACCAGAGGCACTGGGGTTCTAGACGGGCAGGGGACCCGAGGAGCCGGGAGGGGTCTAGAGGACAAGAGTCTGGGACTCCCAGAGAGGCCAAGAGGGGCTGAGCGGGGAGGGGGCGGGGAGCCCGGCCACGTCAGTCCCGGCCCCGCCCGCCACGTTTCCCATGGTCTTTCCCTCCCATCTTCCGCTCTGAGCATTGGCTCTCACCGTTCGTCATGGCGGCTGGGCCCGGGCCTGGCTAGGGATCCGGGATCAGCGGTGGGAGCCGAAGGCGGGGGGAACCCAGCTCTCGCTGGACACTTCCCGATCCCGGCCGCAGCGACTGGTAGGAGCCGTAGTGCGCAGGCGCAAGGGCAGGGAGGCGAGCACCTAACGCAATCAGGGGTGGCTAGCAGATTACCGAGCTACGGGGCCTGAGTGGGTAGTTTTGCGTGCTGACGTTTGAGTAAGAAGCGCGCAATCCGGCAGGCGTCCTACGTGGCCATGGTAACCAAATCTCTATAGCTTGCCTGTGCGGAATTAGTGCTGGGCACAACCTGACACGTTCACGTTGTTGTGGTTGACAAGGATTTGCAGCTTTGCACTGTATTGTGTGCTGCGGCGGCTGCTATGTGCGCTTGTATGTCTGTAGCCCACCTGCAGCAGAGAGGTCTTGGTCCTTCCTGGGCTTCCACGTGAGAACCCTCATGCGGCGGGTGAAGAGGGGCCCCTTGCGACCTCCAGGACTGCCCTTGCCGTGAGGATCTTTCTTACTCCTTAAGGAAATCTGAGTAGCCAAGCTGTGTCTGGACCTTCGAAATGAAATAAGGAAATTATAACAAAAACAAGTCTCATATTTTAGATCCTAAAGCTCCACGTTGTCGGGAAACGTTCAGATAATTGCCTGTTTGTTTGTATGGATTTTACCTTAAACTTTCAGGAGAGTGTCTGTTATCTCCTGTATCTAGTTAATGCTGTGATCACCTCGGCTTCTTGCACCAGACATTGGAGATATCTGACAGCGCTTCCCACAACACTTTCACCAGCTGATGAGAGATACCGTCAGTTTTTCGTGGGGGTCGGGAGTGGAGAGGGTGGAGACAAAGTCTCAGATTCCGTCTTGTGAATTGAAATCCTTAACTGCGTATAACTCGGCCTGCTTTATTAGACTCCGGGCAAGAGAGCAACTCCGAGCCCTCCGAAGATGAAATTGTAAGGTTAACTATCCGCAGTGGTTGTCACCCTCCTGGAGGGACTCTACCGCCCTTGCCACAGTGCCATCTTCTGGCTGCGGCCCGCTCTGTCACGCAAAAGAAAAGCCAGCAAAGCCTCCTGGAGGCAAAACAAAAAAGCTGATGCAGGACAGACTCCTTGAGATAATACACATAAACGTAGAACAAACAAACAAACAAACAAACAAAGAAGGAAGATATATGGGACAAAACCTGAGAAGGCCAGGCGCATGCCCACACATACACAAGCAGAGTGATCAGTTGTCTAATGATGCTTTCAAGGACGAAGAGAGACCCAACACCTTATTTTGAATAAGCGGGTATTTTTCACTCAGAGCTTACCCTTTTCTATTTCTTTTTTCATGCGTCTATCTTTCCTCTCCTTCCTACTCTTTCTTCTCACTCACTCGTATTTGTTTCCTTATTCTTCCCTCTACCGTATTTTTTCCAGTTTTTATAAAGTAGTTTACTTATTTGAATATAAAGCAAATCTCACCACATTTTCATTCAAAAATCAGTTATACCAACAATTCTACATTTTGAAAAATTACAGTATTCTGCTACTCTCTGTAAAATTGGTTATAATGGCTGCTCCTTTCTAGGGTTGTTGAAGGATTAAGTGAATTACTATTCACAACACCTGGCATGAAGTAAGGGTGCCCAGAAATGTTAGCTGTTACTGTTGTTGTTGTTCGTTTGTTTTAAAAAATATTTACCAGTGTCTGCTATGTGCTGGTCACTTTGCTAGATTTGCAGGTAAAGATGAGTCCCTGCTCTTAGGGAACAAACTTTATTGGGGACAATAAGGTATGTGTGTAAACACAGTTTAGCAGAGTACAGGCACTGTGTGTGTAAAGACATTACCTTGGGTCTTCACCACCAAAAGATATTTGCACAATATCTTTTCAAGAAGAGATCTGAGGCTCAGAGAAGGCAGATGGATGAGATAACATAGCTTCAGACCTAGGTCTGACTTCAAAGCTCCCTCCGTCTGTTATCACACTGGCTCAGATTAGGATGCTGTTCCTGATACTGATCTTTGATGATTTTGTTTCAAGCATTTGTGTTTCTGTCACCCTGTCCAGCCCAGCCCCAGAGCCTCACATTCAGGGTCACTAGCTCTTGCCACCCAACTGCGATAGAGCCCCACTGGCTGGGGACTCAACTCAGACAGTCCTTCCTCAGTTCACTCCAGTCTCCACCGAAGGACAGGCAGTTGTTGCCAAACGCCTGTCACTCAAGAACAGTGGCCCCTTTGTTGGGGCTGTTTCAGTCCCTGTGGCAAACACTAATCAGTCCTGGGGACCATGACGATGGCATTCTGGTTTAACCAAAGAGTAAAATCAGTCCCAAAGGCACAGCTTGCAACAATAGCTTCATTTGAATGACAACATATTTGAAAACGTCTGTCAAACAGGCATTAATTTATGCTGCAAATATTTGTTTCAGGTCTTCTATGTTCAAGGAATGCGCCAGCCTTTGGGAACTCAGAGACGAAAGAGACACGCTCTATTCCTAATAAGTTTAAGATTTAGTGGACAAGGTAAGCTGGGCGTATAAATCACCAGAAAATGCAGTTGAAAGTGAGACATGTTGCAGGAAAATGAAAATGGTGCTTTGGGAACGGAAAGAAGAGAGGGCTCAGGGAAGGCTCCATAGAGGAGCAGGCGTCTGAGCTGGGCCTGTAGCGTGTCAGTGCAAAGGAAAGGAGTAAAAGCTCAAAGGCACGGAGATGGGAAAGTACAAGGTCGCACTGTGAGGTCCCCTCTCCCTCCTTCACCAGCTAACTCCAGTCCTCGAGCAGGTCTCAGAGGAACCTCCCTGGAACTCAGACCTCACTTGTTCCAGGGAGGTTCCTCTGACCTTGGGCCCCCTACCCCGTCATAAACTTCCAGAGCATACATTATCTAAACGCTTTTTTAAAAAAGATTTTGTTTATTTATTTTTAGAGAGAGGGGAAGGGAGAAAGAGAGGGAGAGGAACATGGATTTCACCCATCAATAGTGCCCTGACCAGGAATCAAACCAATGACCTTTTGGTTCCCAGGCTGGATCTCAACCCACTGAGCCACACCAGCCAGGGTCAGAGCATCCATTATCTACTTAATTCATGTCCCCCCCCCCCCCCACCCCGAGCCCCGCTACATTGTGAGGCTCATAAGCCCAGGGCTGTGTATTTGCATAGTCTGCCATTTTATCCACAGTCCCATAGCAGGTGCTGAACATTTTTATAGGTGCTTGATAAACGCTTGTTCCGTGAATGATGGATCGTGACCTTGTGGAGCTAGGATGTGGAGTTCACGAAGGAGAACAGCAGGTTAGGCTAAAAGGTAGGTTCTTGAGTAAAAACATAGGACACTTATGGGATGTTTGCTACATTCCAGTTACTACCCTGAGCCCCTTGTGGGTAAGAGCACATCTAAGCCTCGTAATAAGCTTATAAGGTCAGTAACTACCGTTTTCTCCATCTCACAGGTGAGGACATGGATCTACGGAGAGGTGGAGTCATTGGTCTCGAAGGAGCTCAGCAGATATCAAATCTGACTCGTTTGACCTCGGAGCTGGCCTGCTTAACCAGAGTGTGGGCATTATTTGATAAACAAGCAGGGTTCATTAAGATTGCATAAATCATTGTGGAAATTACGCCACCTCACTAAGCCCCAAATTCAGGGGGGTGGAGGGGAGGGAGTGAGGGTGAAGAGGGGTCAGGGCAAGGGTGGGACTGCAGTTTCTGCCTAAATTTGGGGTCTGGCTGGTACTGCTTGCTTGCCCTTGTCCATCATGGCTCCAGCCCACCGCCCAGCCTCCCGCGCTCTTCCTTTCCGGTAGCCCCACCCCTGCCATTCCTTGCAAATTATCCTCACAGAACTCAGGCGCTCCTGTCTGCCTCTCTGCATTCTGTGACTGCATTCTTCTGTGAACAAATCTCTTTAAAAGCTCATTGTCCTTTTTTGCTATCATTTATTCAGAGTCTACTTTCCTTGAGTCTACTGACCTGTAAGGCTACTTTTCTCTTTGCTTTTCTTTCTTTAAAAATTATTTTTTAAAACTTACTTTTAGAGAGAGGGGGAGGGAGGGAGAAAGAGGGAAACATCCATCAGTTGCCTCTGGCATTCACCCTGATGAGGGCTGAGCCTGCAACCCAGGCCTGTGCCCCAACCAGGAATCGAGCCAGTGACCTTTGACTTTGTGGGACAGTGCCCAAACAACTGAGCCACACTAGATAGGGCTCTTTGCCTTCCATTCTTCACTGTCCTTAATCTCCTATGATCTGGCTTTCGTCTTCACCATTGCCCTCAAACTGGTGTGTCCTGATTATTCTGCCACCTCCTACGGTCAAACCCAGGCCTTTCTTCAGTCTCTTAATCTCTTTAGCACTGAGTGCACCAGACCACTCGCTGCTTCCTGAATTTTTTTTTTTGGGGGGAGGGTTTCAAAATATATTCCTCTTCTCCTCTCTCTTCCTACTCTTTGTCTTTTTTATCTTTTATCTCTTGAGCCATCCCTTCAGTCTTTTCTTTGTCTTGATTTCCCTTTTCTAAGGATCTGCCCTTCACCTCCTTTCTCTCTGGCCTTTGTTCCAGTGTTCAGGTCTTCCGTGCCATTTTCTCCAGTCCCCATTTCTCCGTGGATTTCCAGATCTGCACGTCCATCCGTCAGTCTTCAGGACCCCTCTCAGACTGAATTCATTTTCTTCCCGCCCCAATGGCCTTCCCCTTTTACATTCCAATTAATGTTAGTTACAGCGTCAATCTGCATGTGAACATCTCTGTCCACAGCACTCAGATTCATTCAGACACAAAGTCCTGTCAATTCTCTTCCTAAATTCCTTCTTCCTCTTCATTCAGGTTCGGATGGCCTCTCATTCCCCCTCGGTCATCTGCCTGTGAAAGCGAGCTTTTTCAAAAGGTAGGGGCCTGTGATGCTTCTGCTTCCAGACCACCCGGGAACTCTGGCAGTTTGAAGAGAGCAGACAAGGCCTTTCACACTCTAACTGCAGACTCACTGCAGACTCACTCTGCACCCTGCCCAACAGCCCTGCCTCTGGCAAGCCACACAGAACGCCTTGTGGAAGCACGCCCTGACTTTTCACTCTCTGCACTTTTTTCTGCTCTTCTTATTACACTGCGATTTTTTTCCCCTTTATATCTTGGATCTTCAGTTCAGAAGACTGAACTATTCACACTGCACAGTTAAAGACATGCCGTGATAGTTGGCACCTCCAAAGTCCTCCACGTGTTGTTTGTCTCTATGCATCACCTTCGTCCCTCCTCCCATTTCTCTTACCCCGCCACCTTTCTAGTATATTTACATGTTATGCTTTTTTATGTCACTCTAAAATATGTATTTGTGTGTGTGTATGTTTAATTTACATAAATGGTATTGTGTTACAGATCTCATTGTGTTTCTTTTCAAATTTAGCAATGTTTCTAAGCTCAGCCCACATCGCTAGTGGGTCGCTTCTCCCGTCCAAATACTAACAAGGCCCCACCCGACCCTGCTTAGCTTCCGAGATCACACAAGACTGGGCGCATTCAGGGGCTATCGCCCTAGACAGCTAGTGGATCGCTTCTGACTGCTGCATGGTCCCCCTCGGTGTGTATCCAGCACGTTTTACCTGTCCACCTCCCTGATACGGGACCTTGGGAACGCTCTACCCCTGATCCCCTGGGCAAGGCCGGCATTTCATCACTGGCTGACAGGGCAGTTCTCAACCCTGTCGGACTCGATAATCTACCTCGAGTACAAATACATTGTAATGTGCCTTTCATTATTCTGAAGTGAAAAGTCACAGACGCAATAACCCATTGTCGTAGGCAGCCTCTCCGCCCCCAACGATGTCTGCCTCCTGGTGTTCTCATCCCTGCGTAGCGCCCACCCCTTGAGTGTGGGCTCCACTTACTGACTTCTAATGACTGTAAGTGATGGGGTGTCGCTTCCAAGGTGGGGTTACAAAAAAAAAAAAATCCTGGCTTCTACTTGGGTGTTCTCCCTGGTTCTCTCTCTCACCTGCTCTGAGAGAAGCCAGCTGCATGCTGTAAACCACCCCATGGAGAGGACGGTGTGGCAGGTAACAGAGAGAGGCCTCTGGCAACAGCCAGGGAAGGACTGGGGCCCTTGGTCTAACACCCTGAGGGAACTGAGTTCTGCTGACAACCCCATGAGCAGTTTGGGAAGTGGGTCCTTCCTCAGCAGTACTTCATGTGAGAATACAGCCCCAGCCTGCACCCTGAGTGTGCAATAAGGGACCCTCAGCCAGAGGCACCCAGCTAAACTGCACCCAGGATCCTGACCCACAGAATCGGTGTGATAAATGCATATTGCATTTGCCACTAAGTTTTGGGATAATTTGTCAACACAGCAATACATAACTAATTCACTTAACTGCCCATGTAATTTAAAAGTAACATATAGTACCCTAATGGTAATATAAAGACAGTAAATTATAATTACACGTGTTTAAAAATGGTCTAGAGGGTATAAAGATTTCAGATGCTTGCCCTATGTATAGAATCACCATGAATGCAGGAGCTTCAAATGCAGACTGGTTCCAGTGAGTATTGGCTAGTGAAATTATTACATGTGATATGGCCTTGGTGACATTATTTCCTGAAATTGTTTACACTCTTCATAAGTTCCACACAAAACAAAGAATAAAATCTGTCCAGTTTCAGGATAGTTGCTATTTTGGGAAAAGCTCCCAGTTCTTTCCTTTCCGTGTGTCTTTCTCCTTTACTTTCATAGAGAACACTTCACTTGGGACATTTCTGGTCACCAAATGTGTGGGAATTATTTTCCCGCACACCAAGCAATTCTGCAACACTGGCTGGGTGTCCTACAATTTAACTCAGTTCTGACTGCCTGGAGATAGTGTCAGATCCTGCAAGTTAAGTGCTCAGCCCTGTGAGGCTGCCCTCCCCCCCCTTAAATGCCAATTGCATCAAGAGTTTCCGGCGATAGCCACAACTTCTGTTCAACTTGGTGACAAATTGGAAGTTCCTGTGACCTTCTCCCCCCTGTATTCTATTACTTGTTAGAATGGCTCACAGAACTCGGGAAGACACTTCTGTTTACCAGTTTATTAAAGGATATGATCAAGGATGTAGATGAACAGCCAGGTGAAAAGATACATTAGGTGAGGTTTGAGAGGGTCCCGAGGGCAGAGCTCTGTCCCTGTGGAGTTGGGGTAGGGCACCCTCCCAGTACGTGGATGTTTTCTGCAACCTGGAGGCTCTCTGAACCTCCCATTATTGGGATTTTTATGTCTTATGTGGGCATAATCAATCAGTTCCATTTTCAGCCCCTCTCCCCTCTCTGGAGAACGGGCAGGTGGGGCTGAAACTCCCAAGCTTCTGTGGCTTGGCCTTGCTGGTGACCAGCTCCCGTCCAGGAGCCATCCAGTAGTCGCCTCATTAGAACAAAAGATGCTCCTAGTGATCTATTTAGGAATTTACAAGGGCTTTAGGAGCTTTTGCCAGGAATTGGTAGCAGGAATATGTGTGCGTACACATGTATACATAAACAGAGTTAGGTTCTAGGCTCAGATTATAAACAGATTTTTCACTCACTTGAATGTTTAATAGGACTTCAGAAATAGTATACTGCGGGACAATTTTTCCTTCTGTGGCACCATCTCTTGCATTGCAGAACATGTATATCCTTTGCTTGAGACTCTAATGGCCGTGGTTTTTCCAATCGTCGTTCTGACCAAAAAACTATCCACAAAAATTCAAATCCTCAGTCTAAGAAGTGGAACTGCCCCCGTGAGAACTAGTAGTGAAGAAGAGTATCCCCAATAACCAACACAAAACTTGGCATAAATAACAGCGGAACTCTAAGTTGTTGAAAAAACTTTTTTTTAAAAAAGATTTTATTTATTTTTAGAGAGGGGAAAAGAATGAGAAAGAGGGAGAGAAGCATCAATGTGAGGTTGCCTCTCAAGCGCCCCCTGCTGGGGACCTGGCCTGAAACCCAGGAAGCGCCCTAACCGGGAATGGAACCAGCAACCATTTGGTTCGCAAATCTGGTGCTCCATCCACTGAGCCACATCACCCAGGGCCTGAAATTGTTTAAATACAATTTAAACATCACCCTTGGGGGGCAGCCCAAGACCACGTGGTCCCACAACGATCCATCCATAACTTGGAAGTTTCGAATCAGAGTGGTGACTCCATATGCAGAAGCAAATTTAGGGTGACATACGCCGCCTAGGCTTCCTTTTCTTCACTAATGTTTAATTCCTCAGGATTTCAGATCTCATCCCTAAATCCCTAGTGCGTGCCCTGGCTCCGCCCTTACGCACGCGCACCTTCCCCGCTGGCTCCCCCGGCTAGGCCCCGCCCCGGCCGCGGCTGCGCGTCACCGGAAGTGAGACAGCGGAAGTAGTAAATTCACTCGGAGTGAGGCGGGTCGGGTGTGTAGGCTGGCTGGTGGGATGGCGGATGAGGAAGAGGACCCTACTGTAAGTGACCACCTGTTTCAACCTGCTCTTTCCTTTACTCCCTCGGGTACAGTAGCGGAGGCGAGTTCGGAATCGAGTCTGTTTTCCTTAGTGAATTCAGCCGGCAGAGCCGGGGCCTTGACGCCCTGCTAGGTTCTTTCAGTGGTTTCAGTAGGTGGGGCAGGACGTGAAGGGAGAGGTGGCCGTATCTTCCAAACGCTCTTTACAACGCCTAGAGGATCATCGGAGGTCAAAGCTAATGTTTATTAGAGCTCATTATGAACCAACAGTTCAACTCACAAAACTATGTACTTAAAGTATGGACCGGAAGTCGGAACCTGGGTTTCAAAATTTCTGTTCTCTGCGAGCAAGTTATTTAACTTTTATCCTTGGTTTTTCATGTCATAAAATGGGGCTAAGGCTTACTTAAAAAGGGTTTCTAGCTTGCGTGCTTGCTTTGATTCAGTACCAACTCTTGTAAAACTGTTTAGCAATAGGCCAACTGAGTTGGTTAAAAGAGAAAAATATGGTCATGAGAACTCTTCCAGGGCAGTATAGGGACATTATAGAAGTTATCTGTGCGTGAGCCGGCGGTTGGACTGAAACGCTATGGCTTCATGGGTCTTTTGCTGCTTGCTTTACGCTTTTTGGCATGATGTCAGTGTTGAAAATGGGGGAAAATGTTAATTATTTAAAAATAAAATGCAGTGCAGTTACTTGACATTTTCACGTATACATTTTAACTTCTAGTTTGAGGAAGAAAATGAAGAAATTGGAGGAGGTGCAGAAGGTGGACAGGGTAAAAGAAAGAGACTTTTTTCTAAAGAATGTAAGTAATATTTACAGTGATTTTATTATAGATGATAAAGAGTTTTGGACATGTGCATTTAAAGTAGATGTATTGTTCTGAATCTGTTTCCCTGTAGGGACACTATTCTGAGACTTGCCTATAAAGTTATGTTTAACTTGTCATAGCTAGTAAGATCCAAATCCCAATTTATATATTAATACACACACATTCTTTTTTTAAGTGCGGAACTGTGATGAGGGTTTCAATTTGGGGCCTAAGAACACACCTCCATGTCTTTTCGCTGTCCCTGACCTTTGCAGCAGTAGAAGCAGGGACGACTTTGACTATAAGCCAAAGGTTAGGTGGATCCTGGAACAGGTGCTGAGGGTAGACATGGAGTTGGTTGGAGCTTTGGGCTAAGATGGAAAGGTGGTAAACAGTGTGGGGCCTTATAGTGGCTAGTGGCATAGAGATTATAATGTATTGATCCTCTATTCTCCCTCAATAGACAGGTTCGACCTTTTTGTCAGCAGCATAGGGGACTGGTCCAGCCCAAACCCTGAAAGGCACCATGAGAACGTTCTCCATCTCCCAGTCCCAGGTCCCTTACATGTAGTTATGGCTGAGGATTGACCGATGGGGCAACACATGAGTACCTGGTTTGTTTACGTTGCTCCAGATGTAAGCAGTTCCCAAAGGCTCTTGAAACTGCAGCACCAGTGTGTTTTTTCATTTTTTTAACCACTCAGATTTTTCTGCATATCTCAGTTCCTCGCCTGAAGCTCACTGCTCCTTACTCCATCTCTGATGCCATTCATTCCATTGGTATGTTGTTTCACTTATGTCAACCTGCACATGGAATTCCTGCACCAGAGCATCCCGGAGTGAGGCTTGCATAGTTGGTTCATAGCAGAAACTTTATATATTTTTTAAGGTTTTTATTTACTTATCTTCAGAGAGGAGGAAGGGAAGGAGAAAGAGAGAAAAACATTGATGTGTGAGAGATACATTGATTGTTTGCCTCTCTCACACCCCAGCCCAGGACCTGGCCTACAACCCAAGCATGTGCCCTGACTGGGAATCAAACCGGTGACCCTTCAGTTCGCAGGCTGGTGCTCAATCCACTGAACCACAGTAGTCAGGGCAGCAGAACTTTTATTCTCCTTGGATTGCATTATTTTTATGATGAAAAGAATTTGGAATCTTCACAGCTTTCTCCTTGTCCCTGTCTTACTGAAATTTTGTTATATCTTACTGACCAAGATCTCTCCTATACCTTAAAATACTTGTTTTTTTTTTTTCCTACTATAACATAGAAAGTTTCAAAGCATTTGCTGGTGTTTATCTTCACAGATCCTTTAAACAAATACAGTTTATATACTTCCTATCTAATAGGTTTTCCAGTGAAATGTACTTGCCTACTGGTGAATTCTACATTTTCAGGGAGAATAATAAGGGCATTATTATTTTAGGAGAATCCTAGCAGACAGTACTTCAGCCATGTCATCAAAGTTATCACCAGTGACATGTTGACATCACGTATTTCTGATTCGGTGCATTAAGAGGGCACATCACCCTTGTACCCTTTTTGGTAATGCGCAGCCATAATCCAGTCATGAGAAGGTATCAGACAAGCCCAAATTGAGGGACGTGCTACAAGGTAACGGACCAATATTCTTTAGAAGTCAAGGTCATGAAAGACAAGGAATGTCTGAGGAACTGTCACAAATCAGAGGAAACTAAGGGGGCATGACAACTAAATAGTGAGGGATCCTGGAACAGAAAAAAGACATTAGTGGGAAAACTGGCACAATGAGTAACTTCTATAGTTGTACCAGTGTTAACCTTTTAGTTTTGATAAGTGGCTATGGTTATGTAAGATGTTAATATATAAGGGGAAGCTCGCCCTGGTTGGTGTAGCTCAGTGGATTGAGTGCTGGCCTGCAAACCAAAGGGTCACCAGTTCGATTCCCACTCAGGGTACATGCCTGGTTTGTGGGCCAGGTCCCCAGTTGGGGACATGTGAGAGGCAACCACACATTGCTGTTTTTCTCCCTCTCTCCTTTCCCCTCTCTCTAAAAATAAATAAGTAAAATCCTTTAAAAAGGTGGGGGGAGCTAGATATAGGATATTCAGGAACTCCGTACTATTTTTGCAACTCTTCTGTAAGTCTGAAATTATCTCCCCTCTTCCCCCCCAAAAAGTTTCAGAAACCAAAGGAGAGAGAGAGAGAAAGGATGAGAAGGAATGAATGAGAGACCGAGAACATTGGCTTCTGTGTTTGTTTTCTCCCTCTTGTATCTGGACCTGAAGGCTCTTCACAGTACACACCCCTGGGGATACCTCTATCCCTGGCTGGCTTCCGAGGCACTCCTCTCACTTCTTCCCTAGGTCTGGTCTACTTTCTTCTCTCTTAATTTCTATCAGCTTTTGCTTTTCTTAAGTAGTTATTCTTTTTTTACCTCTCTGTGCCACTGAGTGACAGCTGTCACTGGCACAGTCCCAAGGTTAAGTAGTTATTCTTAAGGTACACATCTGCCTTGAGAAGTGCCGGGTGTTCCTTTTCTTTCTTTTTTTTTAAGTAAAATTTACACAGAATAAATTGTGGATGAATCTTACATATATACATATACTTGTAACCACCACTCACATTAAGATAAAAAAACATTTCCAATGTATGACAGTTTTTTAACATTTAATTGCTTCTTTGGGAATCTGATGAGGTGATTTTTCTTCCTAGAAAAACGCGCACACACAATATGTATAAAGTTTTTTCGTATAATTTTAGGAGTGTTTGAGGACTTCTTAAAGCTTGTCCGTGGACTAACTGGGATTATATGGGGTATAGGATTACTACTAATTTGTGTCCCATCTGCCCCAAACTACCAGGAACAGTGATACTACTGTTGTGGGTAGGAATATAGCCTCTGGAGCCTGATCAGTTGGGTTCAAGTTCAGGTTCCATCTCTTACTGTCTGTGACTTTGGGTAAGTCACTAACTTGGTGCCTCAATTTTGTTGTTTCTATAGAATGGGGATGATAATAGTATCTATGTAAAAGCATTATTGTGAGGATTAAATGAGTTATATGCATGAAAGGCTTAAAACAGTCCCTGGCGTACAGGGTGGGGCAAAACTAGGTTTATAGTTGTTCATATGGAAAATAATGTAATAAAAGTATAAACTGTATTTTTCATACTCACAAACTTACTTTTGCCCCACCCTATAGAGTAAGGGCTATATAAGTTTTTGCTATTAGCAGTTATTTTTATTACTCTGTATTACACTTTTCTTCTCTTGCATTTTTTATGGTTCCTTCAGACACGGCCTGAAAGGGCTTTGCTAGCAGTTGCATTGATCTAGGGAGTGAAATGTCAAGGTTCTGTGTAGGAAGCCCTTTGCTATGCCTTTGGATTGTCGCATTCTTCCTGTAGGAAGGTAATTGGAACGCTCTCTCTCATGTCCTTTTCCCTATGGTAATGTCAGAAAGGATTTTGCCTTCTGTTTCTGATGTCCTACTGACTACCGCCCAAGGGCTGAGTCGTTGCCATTCACCCTGTCCCTGCCTATTTGAAGCCATTATGGGCTCTGGCCAGTTGGCTCAGCGGGTTGGGTGTTGTCATGTAAACCGAAAGGTTGCTGGTTCGATTCCCAGTTACGGCATATGCCTGGGTTTTGGGCCAGGTCCTCAGTTGGGGGCATGAGAGGCAACTGATCTTCTCCCTCTCTTTCTCCCTTCTCCCCTCTCTAAAAAAAAATAAATACAAATTTTTTTAAAGGAATTCTGGGAAGGATGGTGAGTAGATGATAGAGGTCCCTACCTACCAGGTAGGAGCAGTTGGTTATGAGACTGGTTGAAGCCTTTCACACCAAAATCATACTTGGAGACAACAAATACAATGCAAATATGTTTTTGTACCCGTATATTCTGCAGCTTGGTTCAATTCTAATTTGAAAAAGTATTGATCAAATAGTTGAATTTGTTCCAGTAAACACAAATGAGTATTCTTTCACAGTACGATGTATGATGTATGGGTTTGGAGATGACCAGAATCCTTATACCGAATCGGTGGATATTCTTGAAGACCTCGTTATAGAGTTCATCACTGAAATGGTAAGTTTTTTTTGTAATTGGTCTTAGTTAATTAAAAATAGATTCGAAATTCTAATTTTAGATAAGACTATAACTATGGCATCCTTTAGAAATAAGCTATCCATTTGGGTGCCTGTTTTGTGGAAGTTATTATTTACTGTTTACCCTTAAGAATGGAGGTTTTGTGTGTGTGTGTATACATATATATCCACGAGGTCTGTCCGGAAAAAGTACAGCCATTGTTAATATAAGGATAATAGTTTACACAGCATCTATGTAACCTGGCAACCGAGGAGAGCGGACTGGAATGCACATGCTTGAACAATGACCACTTCACTGTACTAGTCAGTGGGGGGTGCTAGATGCCACTGAGTGAGCATGTGCACTGTGTGGCCATCGCATTCAAAATGACTGAGTGAATAGAGCAACAAATCATCAAATTTTGCATTAAGCTTGAACATTCCTCTGTGGAAACTTTGTGGATGATTCAGAAGGCTGCAGCTATGGGCAACTGGTGATTGGCAGCTTCATCATGACAACGTGCCTGCTCATGCATCACGTCTCATGCAGAGTTTTTTTGAGAAACATTAAATCACCCAGGTGACTCAGCTCCCCTATAGCCAGGTTTGGTGCCCTGCGATTTCCGCCTTTTCCCTAAACTAAAATGACCTTTGAAAGGGAAAAACGTTTCAGGCTGCTGATGAAATTCAGAAAAATACAACAGGGCAGCTGATGGCGGCTGGGGGAACTGTGTGAGGTCCTAAAGTGCCTGCTTTGAAGGGGACTGAGGTCTCATTGTCCTGTGTGCAGTGTTTCTTGTATCTTGTATCTTCTATAGTAACTGTCTTTTTCATAGTACATGGTTGGGTACTTTCTGGACAGGTCTCGTGTACACACACACGTATGCACACTCCCTGTAGAGATAACTAATGCTAGGATTTTGGAGAATATTCTTTTGTCTTTTTGCATGTATTTTTTTAATTTACAGATTTGAAATCATGTATATATTAATATAGTCTAATAACCTGGGTTTTTGTGTTTTTTATTTCCCATTTAGGTAAGGCTAGAGCATTCCCCGTGTTATTGCATAATAATCTCTGTCGTTAATGGTTTCATAATATTAATTGAATCCATGTGCCCAGATTTATCTACTTAAAGCCTTACTGTTTAGTCTCCCTGTTTCAGCTACTAGAAATCACACAGTGATGAGCCTTTGTGCACAGGATTAGTACATAATGATGGGGGGAGAGCTGATTGTAAGAAAACCCAGCACTATTGAGATGGACGCCAATTTTAAATGAAATTGGTGATTACAAAGAAATTACAAGAGTAGTTTCCCCCCAAACTACATATATCAAAAAACAAACAGGAAACATCAATAAATTTGGTAGCTTTCATGTCCTTAAAATGAAAACATGTTTATAAAGCAAGAGAGACATTGCTAATCATGTGGTAGAAAGTGGGCAGAGGACACGAATAGAACGATAATTCACAAATGAATGGCTGTGATGGTTAGAAGAGAAAGAATCTTCAAATTCACCAGTGTTAAATACATGCAAATTAAAAGAGTAAAATATTAGATTTAAAAAAAATAAATTTAATATGTTTCTCTGTAATAGACTCACAAGGCAATGTCAATCGGAAGACAAGGGCGGGTACAAGTTGAAGATATCGTCTTCTTGATTCGAAAGGATCCAAGGAAATTTGCTCGAGTGAAAGACTTGCTTACTATGAATGAAGAATTAAAACGAGCTAGAAAAGCTTTCGATGAAGCCAACTATGGATCTTGACAACTTCAGTACTTTCTGAAGCTTCGTTGTCTTCTGAGGAGACCGCGTATAAAAATAATCGTATGTTTTACATAGTAAGGTCCTGACAACTAACCATGTAAGTGAAAGATGGAAAAGGACAGAGTTTCCCACCTTTTTTTTTTTCATGTCTTCGATTTTGGGGAGATAGCTGAGCCTTTAACAGCCCGCCGTGGTGCTGCCGCACCTGAATTACTTATGGGGTTTTAATGACCATGTGTAATTTGAAGGACCTTGCACACCATGCAGAACCTGACTTTGGGTGGTCTCAACAGTGAAGTAGTATCCATGTTCCAGGGGGATCTGTGCCATTGTGGGCTATGCTGCCTGACAAGTGAGGTCTAAACAGCGCCTTTGCCTTTATGAGAGCTGAGACATGACAGCCAGACTGGAATGTTTTTAGACTACAGTAGTCCGAGGGGTTACTAAAAGGTAGTGAAATGGTTTGTGTTTCTTTTAAGGAGAAGATGACAGAAGAAAATACAGTCTTTATAGGGGTGTTTATCTGTCTTAAGGTAATAATTTGTTTTAATACCTTTGATAAAGAGTGATGTGTGGGAGGGAGAAACTAAAAGTTTCATGAATGCTTCTGTGTTGAAGCCTTTTTGATTTAAAACCTCTCGGGCTTATAACATACTATTTGTCAAGTTTTAAGAGGACTCATTTTCCCAGGTCAGATTTCCCTTCTCAATAAAAATAAAGGCTTTCAGTAACAGGAATGGCATTGCTGAAAAAGCCGACGGCAGGGTAAGCATTCCGGTAGTGTTTTGTGAACACTTGTTAGTGCTTGTTCATTGTGGAAATCTGTATTTGACTAAAATCGTATGTGGCTATGGAAACCACTTCTGTAGATCAGGATATGTGGGTTTTGTGTGTGTTTGGCTTATTGTATTAAATTATTATTGTACTTAGCTTAACAGAAGGATTAAAATTGCATTTAGAGAGATCAGTGAATATTACTCTGTGTGAAACGAATGTGTGTCACTTCTAAACATTGTCTGCAAATCAGTACTCAGGAAAAGTTTTACTTTCTTAACCTACTGATACTGAATTAAAGTATGAAAAGTTAAAAAAGATTAGTACTGTAATTTGACTGTGGTTTACCAACTCCCCCATTACTGCTAATAATAATTCTAGCTGCTTAATCTCATTTAAAACATTTTTTCTATATTATTATTATAATGCACTTGAATTGATAGATTCAAAATAGCTGGACTGATCTTTTTGTTATTTAAAAAAGTAAAAACCAGTTGAAAAGCTGTTTCAGTCTAAGCTGAAGTCAAGAGTGGGAGCAGAAAACATTGATCTTTCACTGCTTTTGCTACTGAGGTCTGCCGCACTCTGAGGAGGGAGGGAGCCGGCGGTAACACGCACCTGGGCCCTGGGCCGTTGTGCCGGGTGCCTGCGGTACGCTGCTCCGACTGCTTTAGCAAATGTCCCCTGGGCGGCTGAGACAACAGATCCACTTTCTCAGAGTTCTGGAGGCCGGGAGTCTGAGTCACGGCGCCAGCACAGCCCGGTCCTGGCGAGGACTCTTCCTGGACTGCAGATCGCTGCCTCTCCCTGTGCCCCCACGTGGCTGAGAGCTCTGTTGTCTCTTCCTCTTCGTGAAAGGGCAGCACTTCGGTCGCGTCAGGAATCTGCCTGGATCGTCTCCTCAAAGGCCCTGTCTCCAGGACAGTCAAACGGAGGGGGGTCAGGGCTTCCACGTACAAATGTTAGGGGGACACAGCTCAGTCTGCATGGCGGTGCTATTAGTCCTACTATTTTTGCCAGTACCCTGGCATGTAAGAAGTTTTGTGTGGGTACATAAAGAGAAAAGACCACGTGAAGATACCACAGGAAATTTTGTACGGCACTTTGTATTGAGACTTTTTTAGGTTGCAAATGTTAGAACTTAACTCAAAAATAGCATACACAAAAAGGGAATTTATGGGGGTGTTGAACTAAAACAAGGGAAAGAAAAACCTGAGAACCAAGACACTGTCCATCTTTATCTTCATTTCGGCTTTACTCTCAGGAACCTCCGTGTATCGAGGGAACAAGAAGGCAAGTAGTTCTAGGGTTCCGTCCATGTAACTCCTAATCCAGGAAGCTGCTACACTTCCTAATTCAGAGAATTCCAAGCAGGGATCGGGACTGCCCCGGCTCAGGCATTCCTGGGCCAGTTGCTGTGGCCAGGAAGGCGCTGTGCGGGAGCCTGGGTCGCAGGCCCTACCGCTGGTGGGAGCTGGGCGCTGCTGTCGGCAGGAAAAGGAAAGAGTCCGGGCAGACAAAAATGTGCGCTTAGACCAGATGTGCGCTAACTCAATTCGTGCTGATACTGCGGCAGCATGCCTCTCTCTCCCAGTGTCTAGAGCTGCACTGTGTAATATGGTAGCCACTAGCTATTCTGGGCTTTTTTAGCTAATGAAAGTACAATAAAATGGAAAATTTTTCGTTGCACTAGCTGTATTTCAGGTTTCCATTAGTGCCCAGTTGCCGCAGGGCTAGTGGCTGCTGCACTGAACAGTGCTGATAATGTACCATTTCTTTTATCACAAAATTCTTCTGGACAGTGCTAATCTAATGTGTCACATGGTCCAAGTGAATTCATGTTTTTCTTGTTTAAATTACTGTGGAAATCTCAGGTACATACAATCAGAATAGTCTCATGAGTCCCCACCTTTGATATAATTAACCAGTCTTTTGCTAATGTAATGTCTTACCTATTCTCCCATTGTTTTTAGTGGGTAGAGGGGCAGTATTTTAAAGCAAATTTCAGATACCCTATCATGTCATCCATAAACATTTCAGTATGTATCTCTAACAGTTTTAAAAGGTAGCCACAATACTACTATACCCTAATAAAAATTAACACTAATTCCTTAATATTCCATCTGTAAACCCGATCCCTTCTTAAATCACTTGATTTGTCTTAAAGAATCTTTTTGAGTTTGTGTCATAGTATCTGTTGCTGCTGTAAAGTTGCTGCAGATGTAGTGACTTAAAATCATCATTTTACCAGTTCTCTAGGTCAGAAGTCTGACACAGGCCTCACTGGGCTAAAATCGAGGTACCTGGAGGGCCACATGCCTTTCTGGATGTTCTAGGAAAGAATCTGCTTGTTTGCCTCTTGCATCCTCTGGAGGCAGTGTTCCTTGGCTCAGGGTCTGCTCTCTCCTTCAAAGCTAGCCCTGTTGCATCTCTCCGAGCCCGAGTCCATAGTCATAGCTCCCTCTGACCCCAGGTGGGGAAGGGTCTCTGCTTTTAAGGACCCATGTGATGGTGAGGGACCCACCTGGAAACCCCAGGCTAATCTCCCCATTTCCAGGCCCTTTGACTTAATCACATTAGCAAATCCTCTTTTACAGTGGAACTGGAATGTAGAGTTCATGAAGGAGAACAGCAGGTCGTGCTAAAAGGTAGGTTCTTAAATAAAAACAGCTGATGCTTAGGCCCTGGCCAAGTAGCTCAGTTGGTTAGAGTGTCCTGAAATGCCAAGGTTGTGGGTTCAGTCCCTGGTGATGGCACATACAAGAATCAACCAATGAATGCATAAGTGAGTGGAACAACAAATCGATGTTTTTCTTTCCCTTCCTCTCTCTATAAAATCAATTTAAAAAAATTTCTATGTTTAAAAAGAAAACAGGAAAAATGGCTCCCAGGGCCAGGGGCACAGCTGAGGTAGAGGTGGGAGGATTGTTGCCTGGGGACTTATCTTCAAGATTGCCTTGTTACTGAAACTAGAAACTTGGCTTGATTAGAGTGTGGTCGCTATACACCAGGGTTGTGGGTTTGATCCCTGGTCAGGGCACATACAAGAATCAACCAATGAATGAATGCATCAATACATGGAACAACAAATTTATATTTCTCTCTCAAGCCAATAAATAGACAATTTTGGAAGTGCATCTTTATGTTGAAACAAGAGTATAGTTTTCTTTATTAGGTTTACCCATGCACATGTAATTTAAGCTTTTGTTTAGGGGTCTGGTCTAGACAGGAGCTCTGGGAGAACTGGTATTCCACGTACCTAGTCCTTGAATCTGCTTGAAGGAGAAGCAGCGAGGGTGGCACTTTGTTGTCCCAGAACTGGGGCGCTGCTTGCTGGGAAGCACGCAGCTCTTTGGTGTGTGCATTTATGAGGGCGTGTTCTAACAAAGAGTAGAGCTTTTAAAGCAAGTTCCCTTTTCCCCACTGAACTTCCCCTGAACAGCTTGAGGCAAGATGTCCCAACCTAAGCTTGGGCTCAGATTTCTTCCTACTATTGGGAGAAAACCAAAAACTCCCCTTTTTAGAAGTGAGATTTGAGAGTCGTATTAACAGGGGTCCGCCTTAGCCTGGAGGCACTTAGGTCACAAGGCACCATGACTCATTCTGTCCAGTTAGAACCTGCATTTTTAAATGATGCCTAACCTAGTTCCTAAGCAGAGTAGGCAGGCACTCAATAAATATTTGGCGGAAGATGGAGGCTTGCCTCGGGACCTAAGGACAGTCCTTCATCTGAGAAGGCCTTGTCCTTTCAGAACAATTCCTGCTTTGCAGCAACTAGAGTGAAAGACAAGCAGATCTAATCTTACCCAGTGTGGCCGAGTATAGAAGGAAAGGTGATACCTTAGGCGACAGCTATTAAGGTTGTAGTGTAAAACCTGATGTTACACTAGGAAGCAAACACACAATCAATGCATTTGTCAGTGTACAAGTAATAAGATGTACCAGATGTCTTGTGTTTCAGTGCCTGGTTTCTTTCCTCCTCCCATCCCCCTTCTCGGGAAATATTGTATAGTGGTTATGCATTTGCTTCTAACAATTCTGATTGGTAGTCATTGAAAACGGAGATGCAGATGACACTATGCCATAGAATATAGGGGATACAAACATGAATAAGACCCTTTATTCTCTCTACCTTGTCAGAATAAAGTCCTTTTTCTTGAAGTTGAAACTTGCAGTTGCTACAGAGTAGAGTGGGAAAAAAAATTTAAGAGTCAGAATGGCTAGAATCTTGGCTCTGCTACATAGTAACTGTTTGACCTTGGGCAAGTTATTTCCCTTAATCTCCAAATGTGAATGAACAAGCATTTTAAAGGAGATTGTGAGGCTTAAATAACATAGGTAAACACCACATTTTGTGCTTTATGAATGCCAAAACCAATGTAATACCATAATTCGTTTTTTTAATAGCACTCTGTATATAATAGGTAGCCAAATGTTTGTCAGTTTGTCCCTATTAGTAACTCTAGAATCCAGTTAAATATTGAAATATTTAAATGGTTCTGGTTTTTGCAACTACTGTTGTTTGAGAATCAAGATTGAGAAATAGATTTTCGAGTGAAATACACCGGCCAAATAACTGACAAACTATTTCCAGGATATATCATATCTGCCTGCTTTTTCAGTTTGAACATTCTATAAAGTTTGTTTTTGTTGTAGATATCAAAACCTGGGGTAACTTTAAGTCATGTTTATATTTCTTTGTAGTCATTTATCATTGAGAAAATTCTTAGTGAAGACTTTCTTTCAGGAGTTCATCAGGGCTAGACAACTGAAGTTTTGGAATTTGGCTCTTCGGGCTTATCGTTTTCCCTGAATTTGCGAATATTTTTCTTAAAACCTTTTCCTCAAGCTATCACTTCTTTGTGTCTTGAACTGGAGCAAATTCTTCCTTTACAGAAATGTTTGTGTTCATTCTTACCAGTCTTTTTAAGACATTTCCCCCCCTTCAGGAGGCCCAGCTCACTCTTGGCGCTTTGCCTTGGTGAGTACCAGGTTATTGCAGGCTTGTGTCCCTGTGTTCCTTAGGTCTACGTGGTTTTTACCCCCTGAACATTTTAATTCCTCTCACTTGAGCATCACGTACATTTGTGGAATACTAGTTATACGCCGAGGGGAAGGGAACCTGGGAGCTCTAGTTAGAAATAAATGATAGAGACATTCAAGGGCCTTAGGGTTTGCAAGCCGGAAACACAACTAGGCAATACCCAGAGTATTCTGAAGAACGAAAACTAAGTTCTCGTAGTGAAAAGTTCCTTCTTGAGAAGAATCAGTCCTGACTTCTTAGCTTCTGGAGTGGTCCGGATGAGGATCTAACAGAT